CAGTTACCTCATCGAGAAAAACAAATCACATTACCATGGTAACTGTAAACATGTCATTTACTAACGCAGAAGCGTATGATAGAGCGTATGATGATTTATTTTCAATGTTTCGAATACGATGCAACTGCATGGCAAAAATGTGCAATGCAATTACGACAAAGAAAGACATTTTTCTCTAGAAGTGTTTTTAAGATTGACTTAGCGATTACGGAAAACTGGCAACGTGTAGCCCATTCAGACATCTCTATGAATTCGTAAATCAGATTGGTGCGCAATGTGATCGCACATAATCTGGGAACTCCGAAAACAATTGTCCACAAGATTCCTCAAGGGAATAATATTTCCTCCACATTGTTTTACATCAGGCCTTAACAGATTATGATAACAAACTGAACAATTAGCATTGACTTTTAAATATGATTTGGGCAAATCCAAACCTTTTATCACAAATGCCATGGATACATGAAGCATCTCTCCACAAGCTGGTGTAAACTTGCATAATATGTATTCTTCGTTCGTGCAAAACCCACATTGCTTTCACCCCTTTATCTAAATTATTTTACTATTGGGTAGACTAAACGACCTGACTTTTCAAGAAAAACCAATTACCAGGGAAAATATGACAAAACACTAAATGGCGGTAGAAAGATGTGTCCAGAGTCAAGACCTAACAGTGTTTTTTTTTTTCGTTGAAACTAGATTCAATAAATGCATCAAGGTTTATGGAAGGCATTTCGAGCATTAGTGAGCTATTTTTGCCAAAAATTTAAGTAATTCTAAGTGTTTTGGTTTATTTTGTTTTATTATCATTGTTGACGGTTCATTGATCGGTTGGCTTTTAAACACGCCTCAAAAGTAGTTTTGAGACAGTTCTAAGCTTGGATAAAGTGTGAAGGAAGGGTCTAGGTAATAACATTTTTGTGCTCTCTTATTTGTTTCCTAAGGTAACTTGATTCGATCATTTTCTTCTACAATTCGAAAATGGATATAGATATCGAGATGTGGTTTTCACTAATATTTAGCAAATTTTATGGTGATTAACGGTCTGTGAAGTAAATAGTACCGTTTCATTTAACTTTTTTTCAAAAATCACAAAAATATGTAACCGCTGCAGATAACGCCCTCTAGCTTATTTGTTTTAAACCAAGCGGGCTTACTGAAAATATCTTTTAAAAGAGCATGAAATGCTCTTTCAAACAAGACCAAAAATATTCAAATCGGTTGAATGGTCCAGGAGATATTAAAATGTAAACATTTGAAAACGCATTGGCCTCCCCCTCCCTTATTATGAGAGATATGAGAAATATCGCAAAACAAAAGCGATGCGGTATTATGCAAGCTACTAAATGATGTTGTCGACGTTATAGCTTATCGTCTAACTTTTTGAGATAGCGGGAATTTTATGTTTCTCTATGGCAGTTACGCCCCCTAGCGGTCGAATTACGAACTTCAAAATAATTTCCAGCTATTTCTCTTGCCCACTTTGCTCATAAGGATTTTTTTTCCAAACCTCTAGGCCTCACCGTTATTGAGATACAGCCGCTCCGTACGCTTAACGGGACACCTGTATATTAAGGTAGCACATTGAGCCTTTGGTCAACAATTTGCAATTAAATATGTCTTAAATATGACGGAGCACCAGAACATAATGCCAGAGTTGTTAGTGAATTTTTAAATACTACTATGACTACTACAAATTTTGGCAATAATTGGAAACAATGTTTTCCATCATGGCATGGTTATCACATGGTATCTGAAAATCGTAAATTTTAAACACTCCCTGTATATCAAAAACGAAGAGGGTTATGAAAATTTGGTTTGTGCCATTGTAAGTTTCACAAAAAAGTAGCTCAGGTTCGCGGAAGCCGCAACTTTCTATCTTTCATAATAACTGAGATACCCTGCAAACCCATCGAAATTTGGACATCCTGTACATGTCTTCATGTCTTTCTGTTTAGACGTTGTTATAAAAGGATTCCGAATCTAAGAATTGTCTTCTAGACACATTGGAAAATATTGCTCAAAACATGACATTATCCATTTTTAAATTTTCTTCATTTAAAAATTCATCTAAAGTGGGAAAGCAATCAAATTTATTTTTTAGTATCGAAAAAAACGCCACAGAAAAGATAGACATATGTTTTCCTTGTAACGACAAATTTATTTCATTGCACTTAGTAAATATATCTGTTAAATAAGCTACAATCATTAGCCATGTAGGATTTGTTAAAAATTCCATAAAATTTTGCCCAAAATTTGAAGAAAAGAAACCACCTTACTTCAGTGTGCAATAAAAGTGAGGTATGTTGGCTTCCTATTTCAACACATACAATTTTAAATAATTTGGACTGTAACGGTCTTGACTTTACATGGTTTATCATTTTTACAGCTGAATCTCAGTCTCACACTTTTTCGCGGAACATTTACCGACTGTCTGCGGAACACCGGTGTTCCGAGGAACACAGCTTGTTCTATACAAAGCAACTTCAATGACTCCACTTCATAAAACGTCATTTTTACCTCAGTTCCTAAAATTAGTTTAAAAAACTTCATGGATTAAAAATACAACAACGATAATGTCACAATATCCAAGAAACGTCACCAAAATATTAATTATTGCTTCCTAAATTAAATATCAATTTCGAGTTAATAAATTATTTGAATTTATTCCTAAATAATAAGAAATAAATAATTTATGAACTTCATCTGAACGTCGATAACGCTTTTTCGAGCTTTTTTGTAGTGGTCGTTTTTTTTGTAGCTTGTTTTATATCGTAATTTTGAGAAGTAACAAAAAATCCTAATTAACCTGAGAAAAAGAGGTCGGTGAACGAAATCACACTTTTCGCAATCCCGCAATTGGCCACCGGAGGGTAGTAGAATCGGAAGAAAAACGTGTCCATTTTATTACACGCTCCGAATAAAAATCGTCGGAGACGAAGGGAACCGGGGGAAGGCAATAAAATTAAAAATAAGGGGTCTCTCTCGTTCTATCCTTCCTTCCAAACCCAGGTAGAGGGATCCCCCGAGCTCCGAGTGGAGCCGAACGGCCGTGGTAATAGGTCGTTGCGTTCGACTCCGCCAGGAGGCGTGGCGTCCGACGCTCCCCGTTTTCCCCCTCGTTTTTCCTGAACAACAAGATCCCGACGACGAAGATTTCAGTAAACGTATACCGATTTCAACCGTATGTCGAACAGTTTAAAGAAGAAACTAAAAGGAAACAAAAATATAAATATATTTATATATAAATTGAAGTGAAAACAAAAATAAAAAAAAAGACATGCGAAACAAAAATTAAAAACAAAAGACTTAATTGCGTTGTTTTTGGTTGCGCGAATAACTAAGTGAGAAATGGGCGTGGAAATTGTGTTGTCTTTGTAGGGGGGAAAAGGGGGGAAGTGGAGAAGGTAAAGCGGCGTCGCTGTCATCGGAAAGTGGGAGACGCGCGAACCGTCGAAAAAATGGCAGAGAATCGTAGTTGCCGGCAGCATTTCTTGTAATAACGTCGCGACGCGCGGTGACGGCGACGGCGGCGGTTCAGCAGGAATCAATTAGCGTTGGGGCGGTCGCCGGTGCACGCCCCCACGCGGTGGGACGACCAATCTCGTATGCGGCCGCGTTGTATCATACTAATCTTGTTAAATGCGAGCCGAAAGATTCTAAATATTCACTCTGTCAAAACATCTCGCTTCTGTTCGCCGTTCGCGCGTCGCGGGCGGTCGCAGGTGACCCGAAGGATCAGCCCTACTACACGTATTCTAAGGGGGCGCTTCAGACGCCGTCCGACAGATGGCCTGAGAGCGCGCGGACGTCTCGACGTCTTTTCTCCCGATTCGGAACGAACGAGCGCCGCGATTTCGGAACGGGACTTTTATTTTCACTTTTTTTTTCAACATTATTTTCGGTGGTTTTCGTGAGGTTTTCTTTGTTGTTGGTGGGCCGATGATTGATTGCGATGGCGACCTGCATCAGGTGATGGAGGACAATTGCACGATGAGACCTTGTGCCACAGACTTTAGTATTGCCGCTATTATGTCAAGACATGGGAGAGCCAAATCCCGTTGTGGTGATCGCGAACCGCCGGATGCCATGTCACCATTAGGTATGTAAATGTTAAACATTTTTGTTCTATTTTTGGTCTGCAATATTCATTCTAATTAACATTTTTTTTTTGCATTAAAACAAAAAGTCTATCATTATAATAGAAATTCCTTTGTTCATGTTTGACATAATGTGCTCAAGATATATTCGGTTATGCCAGAACTTCAATACATTTAGAACACCTTATTACTTCTTGTATGCAATTCTTTTGGCAATTTTCATTTAGGTTTGTTTACAAATATTCCCTTAATCAGCATTATTTATCATAAAATGTGGTGGGCACACTTTATTTATTGATGAGAGATTGTAAATGGTTATGAAAGAGTGTAATCAGGTCAGATTGAGAGTGCTAATAATTTACCATCATCAAAATATCCAGAAGAATGTAAAGCGATGGTAAATTTAATCGAAGTTGCAAATAATATGGATGTGGGTTAACTTATATCATTCTGTTTAACATTTATATCCTAATGATTATCAGAATCAAATAGTTCAGTTTCAAAACAATCCTGTGTTACCCAAATAGATATAGAATTAATTTGTTGGTGGCTATAACATACTTCAATTTTCTTGTAGACCAACATAATTGTAATTGGTTTAAGGGTATGTGGATCAAACACCATTGGACTTCTATTCTAGGGGTGTCATCAAAGAGAAAGATGAGCCTCGCGAAGAAATAACTTTGAATCTATTGATATGCAAAAACTGTCTGTATTAGCACGAGTGCAGAAATGATTAAAATTGAAAGTTGGATATTCTAAACATTTATATATTTTAATTTCATTCGATTTTGAAATTAAATTGTCAACATGGCAATCAATTATATCAATTTAGTATGTATATATGGCTGTATATAAAAACTTTATCGATGAAGTTTAAAGAATTAAAATTGAAGAAACTTAAAATTTTAATTTTAGTCAAATTTAATGCAATCCATAAAGTTTAATATTAACCCAATTAAATTTCACTGAAACCCAACCATATACAAGAAATATCAATGAAATATTCATTGTTACCCTCAAAATGTTTAACAGTAACTGCAAAAACTTCATTAAAATCAAGCCAATATCAAGAAACTTCAATGGGTTATAAACTTCAAGTTATAATCAATAATTTGTATTTATTTTATGAAACTTCATCAAAACTTCATACCGTAGCCGAAAAATTAATATCAACCTCAGAAACTTCAATGACACCAATCCCACTTCATGAAAAGTCATTTTAACCTCAATTCCTAATTAGGGAAATAAAGTTCATTCAGAAACTTCATCAAAATTTCAAACCAAACCCAAACATTAGGAATCAAACTCTTTGAAATATTAATTTTATTAAATTGAACATCAACTTCAACTAATTTCAGAAAAACAATGAAATAATTAAGTTTAATCCCAAAATAATAATAAATAAATGATTTAAAAACTTCATTTGGAATGTGATTTTCATCGATAATTTAAAATCCATTAAAGAAAAGTTTATGTATCTAAATTCGCATTAAGAAACTTCACTAGAACGTTAATTTCTGACAGAAAATTTAACAGTAACTGAAAAAACTTCGTTGAAACCAAGCCAAGTTCAAGAAATTTCAACGAATCTTCAAGTTTTAATCAATAATTGGTATTTATTTTATGAATTTATATATTTATCTATTTTTGGTCTCAAATATTCATTCTAATTAACTTTTTTTTTTGCATTAAAACAAAAAGTCTATCATTATAATAGAAATTCCTTTGTTCATGTTTGACATAATGTGCTCAAGATATATTCGGTTATGCTAGAACTTCAATAGAGGTGAACTTCATAAGGTGTTCAATTTGGAACACCTTATTACTTCTTGCATGCAATTCTTTTGGCAATTTGAACCTTAATAACTAAAGCAACAACTTTATCATTAGGCAAGATTGAACGACTTTATCTTAGACGATACAGAACTTCATTTAGGTTTGTCTACAAATATTCCCGTAATCAGCGTTGACTTTTTTTTTATCATAAAATGTGGTGGGCACACTTTATTTATTGACGAGAGATTGTAAATGGTTAAGAAAGAGTGTAATCAGGTCCGATTAAGAGTGCTAATAATTTACCATCATCAAAATATCCAGAAGAATGTAAAGCGATGGTAAATTTAATCGAAGTTGCAAATCATATGGATGTGGGTTAACTTATATCATTCTGTTTAACATTTATATCCCAATGATTATCAGAATCAAATTGTTCAGTTTCAAAACAATCCTGTGTTACCCAAATAGATATAGAATTAATTTGTTGGTGGCAATAACATACTTCAATATTCTTGTAGACCAACATAATTGTAATTGGTTTAAGGGTATGTGGATCAAACACCATTGGACTTCTATTCTAAGGGTGTCATCAAAGAGAAAGATGAGCCTAGCGAAGAAATAACTTTGAATCTATTGATATGCAAAAACTGTCTGTATTAGCACGAGTGCAGAAATGATTAAAATTGAAAGTTGGATATTCTAAACATTTATATATTTTAATTTCATTCGATTTTGAAATTAAATTGTCAACATGGCAATCAATTATATCAATTTAATATGTATATATGGCTATATATAAAAACTTTATCGATGAAGTTTAAAGAAGTAAAATTGAAGAAACTTAAAATTTTAATTTTAGTCAAATTTAATGCAATCCATAAAGTTTAATATTAACCCAATTAAATTTCACTGAAACCCAACCATATACAAGAAATATCAATGAAATATTCATTGTTACCCTCAAAACTTCAACTGCAAAAACTTCATTAAAACCAAGCCAATTTCAAGAAACTTCAACAAGTCTTCAAATTTTAATCAATAATTTGTATTTATATTATGACACTTCATCAAAATTTCATACCGTAGTCGAAAAATTAATATCCTCAGAAACTTCAATTACACCAATCCCACTTCATGAAAAGTTGCTTTAACCTCAATTTGTAACAAGAGCAATAAAGTTAGTATAAAAAACTTTATTAAATCATAAGTAAATCCAAGAAACTTCACCAAACTTTGAAAAATTCTTTGAAATATAAATTTTATTAAATTAAACATCAACTTCAACTAATTTCAGAAAGACAGTGAAACAATTAAGTTTAATCCCAAAATAATAATAAATAAATGATTTAAAAACTTCATTTGGAATGTGATTTTCATCGATAATTTAAAATCCATTAAAGAAAAGTTTATGTATCTAAATTCGCATTAAGAAACTTCACTAGAACGTTAATTTCTGACAGAAAATTTAACAGTAACTGAAAAAACTTCGTTGAAACCAAGCCAAGTTCAAAAAACCTCAACGAATCTTCAAGTTTTAATCAACAATTTGCATTTATTTCATGAAACTTCATCAAAACTTCATACCGTAGCCGAAAAATTAATACCAACTACAGAAACTTCAATGACACGAATGCAAAGTCACTTTAACCTCAATTCGTAACAAGGGGAATAAAGTTAGTTTAAAAAGCTTCATCAAATCTTAACTAAATCCGAGAAACTTCATCAAAATTTCAAACACAACCCAACTTTAGGAATCAAACTCTTGGAAATATAAGTTTTATTAAATTGAACATCAACTTCAAGTAATTTCAGAAAAACAATGAAACAATTAAGTTTAATCCCAAATAATAATAAATAAATGATTTAAAAACTTCATCGGGAATTAAATTGTCAACATGGCAATCAATTATATCAATTTAATATGTATAAAAATTTTTTCGACGAAATTTAAGCCAATAAAATTGAAGAAACTTCATTAAAATTTTAATTCTAGTCAAATTTAATGCAATCCATAAAGTTTAATATTAACCCAATTAAATTTCACTGAAACCTAACCACATACAAGAAATATCAATGAAATATTCATTGTTACCCTCAAAATGTTTAACAGTAACTGCAAAAACTTCATTGAAACCAAGCCAATTTCAAGAAACTTCAACGAGTCTTCAAGTTATAATCAATAATTTGTTTTTATATTACGACACTTCATCAAAACTTCATACTGTAGCCGAAAAATTTATGTCAACCTCAAAAACTTCAATGACATTAATCAAAATTCATGGAATGTTACTTTAACCTCAATTCGTAAAAAGAGCAATAAAGTTAGTTTAGAAAAACTTCATTAAATCATAAGTAAATCCAAGAAACTTCACCAAACTTTGAAAAACTCTTTAAATAAATATAAATTTTATTAAATTGAACATCAACTCCAAGTTTAATCCCAAATCATAATAAATAAATGATTTAAAAACTTCATTTGGAATGTGATTTTCGTCGATTTAAAATCCACTTCATCAAAACTTCATACTGTAGCCGAAAAATTAATATCAACTACAGAAACTTCAATGACGCGAATCCCAATTCATGAAAAGTCACTTTAACCTCAATTTGTAACAAGGGGAATAAAGTTAGTATAAAAAGCTTCATCAAATCTTAACTAAATCCGAGAAACTTCATCAAAATTTCAAACCCAACCCAACTTTAGGAATCAAACTCTTTGAAATATTAATTTTATTAAATTAAACATCAACTTCAACTAATTTCAGAAAGACAATGAAACAATTAAGTTTAATCCCAAATAATAATAAATAAATGATTTAAGAACTTCATTTGGAATGTGATTTTCATCGATAATTTAAAATCCATTAAAGAAAAGTTTATGTAACTAAATTCGCATTAAGAAACTTCATTAGAACGTTAATTTCTAACAGAAAATTTAACAGTAACTGAAAAAACTTCATTGAAAGCAAGCCAAGTTCAAGAAATTTCAACGAATCTTCACGTTTTAATCAATAATTTGTATTTATTTTATGAAACTTCATCAAAACTTCATACCGTGGCCGAAAAATTAATATCAACTACAGAAACTTCAATGACACCAATCCCACTTCATGAAAAGTCATTTTAACCTCAATTCCTAATTAGGGAAATAAAGTTCATTCAGAAACTTCATCAAAATTTCAAACCAAACCTGAACATTAGGAATCAAATTAAATGCATTTCA